TTTTTTTTTTTTTTTTCCATTTTTGTGTACTCAAGGGCTTGATGTGCAGTTTAAGTAAATTTGAAGGGAAGATTTGTACACATGTGGTTACGATTTTCTGATTTTATTCTTATGTGGCTGGCTCGATTGTAGATCAGTATTGCCATTGCGGCTCAGCTGCAAATTTCGAGTACATCTTGGGTTGGGAGTTCTTGGTAGCAAGTTATGGAGTGTTAAATTAGAAGACTTGGGAAGGGTAAATGGTTGGGGTTGTTGAATTATAGTTTTGGTTGGAATACTGTGAAATGTGAGGGTGCTTTTCATTGCAGTAGAAAATCTGTTAGCAGAAGATTATTGAGCAATGATACCTGAGAGCTGGATTCTTTCGGTTGCTGATGTGGTGATATGTGGTTCAGTTATTGTTTTGTTAATACCGATCATTCTGCATTGGGGCAATTTCAATAGCAAGAGTAATATCATTAGAAATAAGAATGACTAGTGACGCACGACATGGTAGAAAGGTCAGTTGAATTGGTGTTGCATCATGGCTCTTTCCTGAATTTTTCTCTCAAAAAGTCTATCCAATTGGATATTAACTCATTCTTGTTGTATGCATCTTTTCACTTACAAGGAATAATAATATCAAAGAAGATGATCATATCTTTCGCTCAATATTCGAAATCATTGTGAAATGGAAATCACTGGGACGTAATTGTTTTTGGTAACTTGTATAAAGAACAAGGATAAGGAGATAGATTTTCTTATTTTAGCCCCCTTAATATTTCCAACTTTCTTGGAATATACTCTTTGTTATTCAATAACATGAGTGCTGTTAGACAACCTCACAATATGGTTACTGCTGCACAATTACAACCTCTTTGCTCAGTGAATGTAAAGCTCCCATCTCCTAACCATATGCGGCATATATTACTTCTGAAGATAGATGGATGTCCAACTATTTACTTGGTTAATGGTTATTTAGTCGAGGTGATTTGGATATTGATGCAGTTCCAGGTTGGCGCTTCATATGAATTTGCTGAGAAAATCTATGCTGTAAAAGCAGATCAAATTTTGAGGGATTTCTGGTAAAACTATGTCTATGGCAATAATTACGGGAATATTGAGAGATCATCCAGGTTCTTTTGAGCTATTATGTTATGCTTAATTGACTTGTGAATTGGTCTGTCATTTTCACTGGTTGCCCTTCTGGAATAGTTCCTCTACATCTTCCTGGCCATCATTTTTCCTGAATTCAGCTGCTAGATCGGTGTTGGACACCCAGACAAGAGAGGCGTACTATTGACATAAGGAAACATAGGAATTAAAAGCATTGGCTGTTTTTATTTCCTCTCTTCCCTCTACTCCTGACCTTGCCCTGTCTAGCAACACTGTTGTTCTATGAGATATTGCATTTATCAAAAAAGAGAGGCTAAAGTCTGTGTGCATAGAAAACTGAAACTAGGAAAGAATTTTTCCATCGTGCTAGATAAAGCTTCTCAGTTTCTATCTCCGTGATCTTACTGGTAGTGATATTGTCTTCTGCGTCAATTTTTTTCCTTAAACCGCTTAATTTTCCTTGTCTTTTGTTTTGTTTTTTTAAGATGAATATCATTTTAGGATGTGTCACTTGGTTTAGATTTAAGAACTATTGCGTATCTTTGATGCCTTGCCTTGCAGCTTTGCACACAACTTTCTTATTAATGGTTTTCTTTCTGGGTTGGAACTGGTCTAATTAGTTTGTTGATGGTGTTTGTCTCAGGTTTGGGATCTTGGTGGGCAAGAAAGACTTCGAACATCATGGGCAACATACTATCGTGGAACTCATGCTGTCATTGTAGTGATAGACAGCACGGATAGAGCCAGGATCTCAATTATGAAGGACGAACTCTTTAGGCTGCTTCCTCAGGAGGATCTTCAAAGCTCGGTTATACTTGTATTTGCAAACAAACAGGACCTCAAGGATGCCATGACTCCTGCGGAGATTACTGATGCACTTTCCCTTCACAGCATTAAGAACCATGATTGGCATATCCAAGCCTGCTGTGCTCTTACTGGGGAAGGTTTGTACGATGGTTTGGGGTGGATTTCCCAGCGAGTTATCGAGAAAGCATCAAGCTAGAACTGAAAAAAGATTAGAAGAGAGTGTTGGTACACTGTCCAAGGCTTCGAGGGATTTAAACAGGTGTTTACTCTGTGTACCATCTAACACTACGTGTGCTTTGGTTGAACCGATTGTTTCGTTGTTATATTGATTGTCACCATGGATATATGAGTTGTATCTTCTGCACAATGCTGCTGTCCAACAGTCAGACTTTTTTGCCGGGATATATAACTCTTTAAACTACATCGACACAATAATTTCTAGTGGGGGATAAAAGCTATTAATAAATCAATTGAATCCACACAGCTTAGTGCAGTTGACAAGGGATACAATGTAAATTCACGGCCTGATCTCGAGCCCCATTGGCCAGATAAAACCTAACTTTAACAATGTGTATGAGTTTGTGCTTGATTTCATGTGGTTTTTTACGCTACAGGGGAGGGGGAGGCAAAGGGGAATGGAGATTCAAACCATTGACTTTTCACTCCATTATATAGGGTTTTAACATATGACGCACGGATATTTTATTGATGTTGATGTATCAGTATCTATTATTGTATCGGATACAATATTCGTTAAATATTCAAAGATACATATCAGATACACCTTTTATATATCTGATAATAATTAAATATTATTATCGGATACTTTTATGATCGATCAATATATATAATTTTTGAATTGAATTTTTAATATCTCTTTTCGAATTCATATACCATATAATACATTAACAAAAAATTTATATTACTTGAAAGGCACATGAGTGCTTCTTAAGTATTATCTACAATTATATGTCAAAAGAGCATAANGGCTTAGTGCAGTTGACAAGGGATACAATGTAAATTCACGGCCTGATCTCGAGCCCCATTGGCCAGATAAAACCTAACTTCAACAATGTGTATGAGTTTGTGCTTGATTTCATGTGGTTTTTTACGCTACAGGGGAGGGGGAGGCAAAGGGGAATGGAGATTCAAACCAGTGACTTTTCACTCCATTATATAGGGTTTTAACATATGACGCACGGATATTTTATTGATGTTGATGTATCAGTATCTATTATTGTATCGGATACAATATTCGTTAAATATTCAAAGATACATATCAGATACACCTTTTATATATCTGATAATAATTAAATATTATTATCGGATACTTTTATGATCGATCAATATATATAATTTTTGAATTGAATTTTTAATATCTCTTTTCGAATTCATATACCATATAATACATTAACAAAAAATTTATATTACTTGAAAGGCACATGAGTGCTTCTTAAGTATTATCTACAATTATATGTCAAAAGAGCATAAAATAAAGTTATTACATTATTATCTTAGCAAAAATTACTTCTAAATATTAGGTAAATATTAGTTTTAATTCCTTTAATTAGTCATTTCATTTTGTAAATATATTATAGCGATATAATATATATTTTCTTGAAATTAAAAAAATTATTAATTTTTCTTATTCTATATTAAAGAACTATCAAAATATATAAGTATTAAGTTTGTTAAAAATAATAAAAATATTAAATATATTTTATTATAGCCGTATCTTGGCCATACCTGTATCCTACTTTTTTAGACTTTGTTGTATTGCCGTATCTGTATCGTATCGTACCCATATTTCGTATTCCAATCCATGTTTCATAGATTCTAGCCAGCCGAGTGGGATTTCAGAAAAATGTGTGTGATTTTTAACAATTTCCATCACCGAAAAATAACCCAATCATCTTGATTAAGTTACAATTATTACAATGGAAACTATATATGAAGTTCAAGAAATCGTAGTTAGTTGTTATAAGTTTGAAAAATTTCCCACCTGACTTTGTTTTGGTGCGTAGAAGGAAGTTTGCTTTTACTGGTCACTTTGTTCAAAAACCTGGAAGTAAAGGCTGTTCCGTTTCCTCATCCCACATCGACTCTTAGACCGAAAGAGCTGCAGTCAAAAGTGTATATAAAAAAGAGGCACAACTNGATTTCCCAGCGAGTTATCGAGAAAGCATCAAGCTAGAACTGAAAAAAGATTAGAAGAGAGTGTTGGTACACTGTCCAAGGCTTCGAGGGATTTAAACAGGTGTTTACTCTGTGTACCATCTAACACTACGTGTGCTTTGGTTGAACCGATTGTTTCGTTGTTATATTGATTGTCACCATGGATATATGAGTTGTATCTTCTGCACAATGCTGCTGTCCAACAGTCAGACTTTTTTGCCGGGATATATAACTCTTTAAACTACATCGACACAATAATTTCTAGTGGGGGATAAAAGCTATTAATAAATCAATTGAATCCACACGGCTTAGTGCAGTTGACAAGGGATACAATGTAAATTCACGGCCTGATCTCGAGCCCCATTGGCCAGATAAAACCTAACTTCAACAATGTGTATGAGTTTGTGCTTGATTTCATGTGGTTTTTTACGCTACAGGGGAGGGGGAGGCAAAGGGGAATGGAGATTCAAACCATTGACTTTTCACTCCATTATATAGGGTTTTAACCTATGACGCACGGATATTTTATTGATGTTGACGTATCCGTATTTATTACTGTATCGGATATAATATTTGTTAAATATTCAAGGATACATATCGGATACACCTTTTATATATCTGATAATAATTAAATATTATTATCGGATACTTTTATGATCGATCAACATATATAATTTTTGAATTGAATTTTTAACATATCTTTTCGAATTCATATACCATATAATACATTAACAAAAAATTTATATTACTTCAAAGGCACATGAGTGCTTCTTAAGTATTATCTACAATTATATGTCAAAAGAGCATAAAATAAAGTTATTACATTATTATCTTAGCAAAAATTACTTCTAAATATTAGGTAAATATTAGTTTTAATTCCTTTAATTAGTCATTTCATTTTGTAAATATACTATAGCGATATAATATATATTTTCTTGAAATTAAAAAAATTATTAATTTTTCTTATTCTATATTAAAGAACTATCAAAATATATAAGTATTAAGTTTGTTAAAAATAATAAAAATATTAAATATATTTTATTATAGCCGTATCTTGGCCGTACCTGTATCCTACTTTTTTAGATTTTGTTGTATTGTCGTATCTGTCTCGTATCGTACCCATATTCCGTATTCCAATCTATGTTTCATAGATTTTAGCCAGCTGAGTGGGACTTCAGAAAAAGGTGTGTGATTTTTAACAATTTCCATAACCGAAAAATAACCCAATCATTTTGATTAAGTTACAATTATTACAATGGAAACTATATATGAAGTTCAAGAAATCGTAGTTAGTTGTTATAAGTTTGAAAAATTTCCCACCTGACTTTGTTTTGGTGCGTAGAAGGAAGTTTGCTTTTACTGGTCACTTTGTACAAAAACCTGGAAGTAAAGGCTGTTCCGTTTCCTGATCCCACATCGACTCTTAGACCGAAAGAGCTGCAGTCAAAAGAGTATATAAAAAAGAGGCACAACTTCTGTAAAATTTCTTACCTTTCTCAGATTTTTGGCTAAGATTAAGTGTAGTTTAATATCTCATAAATCTGATACGTGGTCCAATGGATTGCACGATTTGAAATTAATTTTTTTGAGGGAGAGGGACAACCAGCAGCTTGCTGCTGGATCTCCTCCTCGCGCGTCGGCTAGGCGTTTTAGTGTTTGGGGCATGGGCTTTTAATAGATATTTACGAATCAGAATCTGGGCTAGCTCTGGGAGTTGCAGGGTGGTAGTCTGAATGAAGTGAGATTCATTAGATTGCAGATGTTGGGTCAATTGGGCCTTGTAGAAAATGACATTGAAACTGAATAGTCTTGGGCTGGGTCTGTTTATGATTGATTAGGCCCTGTTTATAAATGTGGGCTAGCTCTGGGAGTTGAGATTCATTAGATTGCGGATGTTGGGTCAATTGGGCCTTGTATAAAATCACGTTGAATCTAAATAGTCCTGGGCTGGGTCAGTTTATGATTAAGTAGGCCCTGTTTATAATTGTGCATAGGGGTCTTAAGCAGAACAAATTATTTGGGTTTGGCGACCGATAAGACTTAGTTTAAGTTTAACTTGTATTTTAAATAAGTTAAGTTTGGATAATTTTTTAAACTTGNTTCATTAGATTGCGGATGTTGGGTCAATTGGGCCTTGTATAAAATCACGTTGAATCTAAATAGCCCTGGGCTGGGTCTGTTTATGATTAAGTAGGCCCTGTTTATAATTGTGCATAGGGGTCTTAAGCAGAACAAATTATTTGGGTTTGGCGACCGATAAGACTTAGTTTAAGTTTAACTTGTATTTTAAATAAGTTAAGTTTGGATAATTTTTTAAACTTATCTAAAAAAACAAATCTAAAAATTTAGCTTAAACTCGTAAATATTTACTTGTTTATATGTAAAATAGTCGAATTATTCGAGTTCTAAATAAGTCGAACTTGAACAATTTTTTTAAATCGTTAAAAAAATCAAGCTCAACATACTCGAGCTCGGGCAAAGATTAACACCTTTAAACTCATTTAGAAAAACAAGCTTTGACATGTTCAACTCAAGCTCGCAAAGATTAACACCCTTAATTNGTTTAAAAAAATAAATCTAAAAAATTTAGCTTAAACTCGTAAACTTTTACTTGTTTATATATAAAATAGTCGAATTATTTGAGTTCTAAATAAGTTAAATTTGAACAATTTTTTAAAATCGTTTAAAAAATCAAGCTCAACATACTCGAGCTCGGACAAAGATTAACACCCTTAAACTCATTAAGAAAAACAAGCTTTGACATGTTCAACTCAAGCTCGCAAAGATTAACACCCTTAATTGTGAACTTGAAGACCAACATTACATAATAATTTTTCACAAATCTGAAAAAAGACCATCCTTGTCCTAAATGGTGGACAAACACTAAGGTTTTTACATTGGTTTATGGAAAAACCTAAGCTCTCTCTCTCTCTCTCGTTCACACACACACACACATACATGTTCATGAGTCCCCTTTAACCACTTTTTCAATGGGTCCATAGGATTTTGACAACAAAGAATTGTTAAAAGAAACCATTTTTGTTATTTTTTTCCCTTTCAATTGTTAAAAGAAACTATGTTCATGTCGCACTGCATTCAACATCAGTTGGAAAAAAAAATAAAAATGAACCGGAATCCCCGAGAGGCCAATCAGCTTTGATTGGTCAAAACAAAAGAAAAATTAATTTTATTTTCTGCACAATGGAACATTTCTTCATTTGATGCTTCATACTTGTGACATGCTGAAAGGTACCAATTCTTGAAACCTCTGGCCAAAAACTAATGAAAAATTGGAAACCAGCATAATAAAATGATCACAGTAGCCAACATCCGCAACCTGATGAATCTTCTTGTCCTTCAAACCATCGATCCCACAATGGGTTTACGGGGCCATTTGTCCTGCCAAAGAGGTAACAAAAATGAAATCACTCCTAGAATAAGGTTGATAATAAGGTTGGATAAGAGCGGTTCCTGCCTAAATATGAAGCATCCCAAAAATAAGAAAAAAATATATTACACTGGGAGTAGCGGATCTGCACTTGACTTGACATAACTCAGCATTCTACAAGCCACGTCACAACATTCATTTAGAAAATCAATAGTGACAGTACAAATTAATGGATTAGACAACTTAGTAATGCATATTCCCAAATATATTCTCATACTTACTCCTTGCAAGAAGCTGAGGCTGCCTCCATTTTCTCAAGTTGTTCCAGCTCTTCCTGTGTATAGGATGCAACAGAATGAAATCAAATTCGAAATGAATTACAGCAATAAATACAACCAAGTTACAATGAAAAGGAGATTCAGCAGCTGGTGGGTCTCAGATGTATTAATCATAACGGTAGGAACTTTTTCAGGTATAGTGGTTCCTGTGGTACTGACAAACAGGATTCCAAAACTGAAGCAGAGTGCTCTACAACCAGTTGGAGTGCTCTAGTTAATTTTCAGAGTAAAAATAAACGCACAACCAGTTGGAGTGCAATATCTCTATTTTGTGATACGTTGCAGAGCATCACCCTAAGTGGGACGTGGCTAAACTCGCCAGCTGCACTCATAATCCATTCATGTATCAGAGAATCTTCAATGATCTTAAGTTCACATAGCTGAAAAATAAAAGACCCTTAAAAACCAAACAATTTAAAGGAACGGGGAGCTCAGGCGATGTTCAGGGGTTATGGACCAGGATTAAATTGTTAGAAAACAAATTTAACAGGAAACTTCACTTGATTTACTAATGCTGCTAACATACTTGTCACATTGTTTTTGGTTCTCATCAACTCATGAAATTAAAATGCATTAGTTTACAGGTGTGGTTAGTATAAAATGTACTAGTTGAAACAACTTGCGAACATCCCAACAAAGATGCCACCTAGCTAAAGCAGTTTAGTATAAAAATCCGTTTACAGGCGTGGTTAGTATAAAATGCATCAGTTTACAGGCGTGCTTAGTATAAAAATCTATATCACCGGTTTAACTATCATTGTCATCAGAAACCAATAGCAAAAAAATAAAATAAGAATAAATAAAAAAACACCCAAACCACAAACTAAAGGAGTTTCAGGAGTTCCTGCTGTGGTTTTCCATACTACTTTGAGAATGAAATATTTTACTCAGCAAAGATGTTCACATTCCACATCCTTCCACTTCAGCCATGAACATTTCCTTTTCACTTCTCAACTCCATATTTATAAAGGAGTATCTGAATAAGTATATTAGAGTGAGCAATCTTGGGAGGTGAAGTTCTATACTTGGCATTGTACAACATAGCAGAGAAGGAAATGCTTCTAATGTCTATCAATTCTCTCTTCTATGTCCTGTTAAATTCATCAGCAAGAAGTGTCATTCCATTCTTGAACTTATAAGTAGCTCCACTAGATTCAATTGCTTTACACACCAGCTGCTACAGTTGGTATTATTTCTTGAAATCTTAACAACTGCTTAAACCATTTCAAGTTGTCAACTATATGAGAAGAGAAGATCTCCTTAGAAGGGCAGTAAAAGAATTGGTAGTACATAAGGAGACTAACAAAATATTTATTGACACGCTGAGAATCTACTTACAAACTATTCATTTTTTTTTATAGGAAACAAACAAACTATTCATTGATGGCCAAAAGGTGAAGTTTCAGCAAATTTATGTTNACACTAAGGTTTTTACATTGGTTTATGGAAAAACCTAAGCTCGCTCGCTCTCTCTCTCTCTCTCTCTCTCTCTCTCTCTCTCTCTCTCTCTCTCTCTCNAAGCACTAAGGTTTTTACATTGGTTTATGGAAAAACCTAAGCTCTCTCTCTCTCTCTCGTTCACACACACACACACATACATGTTCATGAGTCCCCTTTAACCACTTTTTCAATGGGTCCATAGGATTTTGACAACAAAGAATTGTTAAAAGAAACCATTTTTGTTATTTTTTTCCCTTTCAANTACATGTTCATGAGTCCCCTTTAACCACTTTTTCAATGGGTCCATAGGGTTTTGACAACAAAGAATTGTTAAAAGAAACCATTTTTGTTATTTTTTTCCCTTTCAATTGTTAAAAGAAACTATGTTCATGTCGCACTGCATTCAACATCAGTTGGAAAAAAAAATAAAAATGAACCGGAATCCCCGAGAGGCCAATCAGCTTTGATTGGTCAAAACAAAAGAAAAATTAATTTTATTTTCTGCACAATGGAACATTTCTTCATTTGATGCTTCATACTTGTGACATGCTGAAAGGTACCAATTCTTGAAACCTCTGGCCAAAAACTAATGAAAAATTGGAAACCAGCATAATAAAATGATCACAGTAGCCAACATCCGCAACCTGATGAATCTTCTTGTCCTTCAAACCATCGATCCCACAATGGGTTTACGGGGCCATTTGTCCTGCCAAAGAGGTAACAAAAATGAAATCACTCCTAGAATAAGGTTGATAATAAGGTTGGATAAGAGCGGTTCCTGCCTAAATATGAAGCATCCCAAAAATAAGAAAAAAATATATTACACTGGGAGTAGCGGATCTGCACTTGACTTGACATAACTCAGCATTCTACAAGCCACGTCACAACATTCATTTAGAAAATCAATAGTGACAGTACAAATTAATGGATTAGACAACTTAGTAATGCATATTCCCAAATATATTCTCATACTTACTCCTTGCAAGAAGCTGAGGCTGCCTCCATTTTCTCAAGTTGTTCCAGCTCTTCCTGTGTATAGGATGCAACAGAATGAAATCAAATTCGAAATGAATTACAGCAATAAATACAACCAAGTTACAATGAAAAGGAGATTCAGCAGCTGGTGGGTCTCAGATGTATTAATCATAACGGTAGGAACTTTTTCAGGTATAGTGGTTCCTGTGGTACTGACAAACAGGATTCCAAAACTGAAGCAGAGTGCTCTACAACCAGTTGGAGTGCTCTAGTTAATTTTCAGAGTAAAAATAAACGCACAACCAGTTGGAGTGCAATATCTCTATTTTGTGATACGTTGCAGAGCATCACCCTAAGTGGGACGTGGCTAAACTCGCCAGCTGCACTCATAATCCATTCATGTATCAGAGAATCTTCAATGATCTTAAGTTCACATAGCTGAAAAATAAAAGACCCTTAAAAACCAAACAATTTAAAGGAACGGGGAGCTCAGGCGATGTTCAGGGGTTATGGACCAGGATTAAATTGTTAGAAAACAAATTTAACAGGAAACTTCACTTGATTTACTAATGCTGCTAACATACTTGTCACATTGTTTTTGGTTCTCATCAACTCATGAAATTAAAATGCATTAGTTTACAGGTGTGGTTAGTATAAAATGTACTAGTTGAAACAACTTGCGAACATCCCAACAAAGATGCCACCTAGCTAAAGCAGTTTAGTATAAAAATCCGTTTACAGGCGTGGTTAGTATAAAATGCATCAGTTTACAGGCGTGCTTAGTATAAAAATCTATATCACCGGTTTAACTATCATTGTCATCAGAAACCAATAGCAAAAAAATAAAATAAGAATAAATAAAAAAACACCCAAACCACAAACTAAAGGAGTTTCAGGAGTTCCTGCTGTGGTTTTCCATACTACTTTGAGAATGAAATATTTTACTCAGCAAAGATGTTCACATTCCACATCCTTCCACTTCAGCCATGAACATTTCCTTTTCACTTCTCAACTCCATATTTATAAAGGAGTATCTGAATAAGTATATTAGAGTGAGCAATCTTGGGAGGTGAAGTTCTATACTTGGCATTGTACAACATAGCAGAGAAGGAAATGCTTCTAATGTCTATCAATTCTCTCTTCTATGTCCTGTTAAATTCATCAGCAAGAAGTGTCATTCCATTCTTGAACTTATAAGTAGCTCCACTAGATTCAATTGCTTTACACACCAGCTGCTACAGTTGGTATTATTTCTTGAAATCTTAACAACTGCTTAAACCATTTCAAGTTGTCAACTATATGAGAAGAGAAGATCTCCTTAGAAGGGCAGTAAAAGAATTGGTAGTACATAAGGAGACTAACAAAATATTTATTGACACGCTGAGAATCTACTTACAAACTATTCATTTTTTTTTATAGGAAACAAACAAACTATTCATTGATGGCCAAAAGGTGAAGTTTCAGCAAATTTATGTTTCAATAGCTTTTTGAAATCTGACATTGATTGAATGCATTCTTTTACCTCTTTCTTTCCTATCCCATAGTAACTTATTTGTGTTCACATTTTCCTAGGTGNCTTCAATAGCTTTTTGAAATCTGACATTGATTGAATGCATTCAATTACCTCTTTCTTTCCTATCCCATAGTAACTTATTTGTGTTCACATTTTCCTAGGTGATTTGTATGAATCGTGAAACTTATTTGCCATGCTTCGAGACGCACTTTAACATTGACATCATNAATTGTTAAAAGAAACTATGTTCATGTCGCACTGCATTCAACATCAGTTGGAAAAAAAAATAAAAATGAACCGGAATCCCCGAGAGGCCAATCAGCTTTGATTGGTCAAAACAAAAGAAAAATTAATTTTATTTTCTGCACAATGGAACATTTCTTCATTTGATGCTTCATACTTGTGACATGCTGAAAGGTACCAATTCTTGAAACCTCTGGCCAAAAACTAATGAAAAATTGGAAACCAGCATAATAAAATGATCACAGTAGCCAACATCCGCAACCTGATGAATCTTCTTGTCCTTCAAACCATCGATCCCACAATGGGTTTACGGGGCCATTTGTCCTGCCAAAGAGGTAACAAAAATGAAATCACTCCTAGAATAAGGTTGATAATAAGGTTGGATAAGCGCGGTTCCTGCCTAAATATGAAGCATCCCAAAAATAAGAAAAAAATATATTACACTGGGAGTAGCGGATCTGCACTTGACTTGACATAACTCAGCATTCTACAAGCCACGTCACAACATTCATTTAGAAAATCAATAGTGACAGTACAAATTAATGGATTAGACAACTTAGTAATGCATATTCCCAAATATGTTCTCATACTTACTCCTTGCAAGAAGCTGAGGCTGCCTCCATTTTCTCAAGTTGTTCCAGCTCTTCCTGTGTATAGGATGCAACAGAATGAAATCAAATTCGAAATGAATTACAGCAATAAATACAACCAAGTTACAATGAAAAGGAGATTCAGCAGCTGGTGGGTCTCAGATGTATTAATCATAACGGTAGGAACTTTTTCAGGTATAGTGGTTCCTGTGGTACTGACAAACAGGATTCCAAAACTGAAGCAGAGTGCTCTACAACCAGTTGGAGTGCTCTAGTTAATTTTCAGAGTAAAAATAAACGCACAACCAGTTGGAGTGCAATATCTCTATTTTGTGATACGTTGCAGAGCATCACCCTAAGTGGGACGTGGCTAGACTCGCCAGCTGCACTCATAATCCATTCATGTACCAGAGAATCTTCAATGATCTTAAGTTCACATAGCTGAAAAATAAAAGACCCTTAAAAACCAAACAATTTAAAGGAACGGGGAGCTCAGGCGATGTTCAGGGGTTATGGACCAGGATTAAATTGTTAGAAAACAAATTTAACAGGAAACTTCACTTGATTTACTAATGCTGCTAACATACTTGTCACATTGTTTTTGGTTCTCATCAACTCATGAAATTAAAATGCATTAGTTTACAGGTGTGGTTAGTATAAAATGTACTAGTTGAAACAACTTGCGAACATCCCAACAAAGATGCCACCTAGCTAAAGCAGTTTAGTATAAAAATCCGTTTACAGGCGTGGTTAGTATAAAATGCATCAGTTTACAGGCGTGCTTAGTATAAAAATCTATATCACCGGTTTAACTATCATTGTCATCAGAAACCAATAGCAAAAAAATAAAATAAGAATAAATAAAAAAACACCCAAACCACAAACTAAAGGAGTTTCAGGAGTTCCTGCTGTGGTTTTCCATACTACTTTGAGAATGAAATATTTTACTCAGCAAAGATGTTCACATTCCACATCCTTCCACTTCAGCCATGAACATTTCCTTTTCACTTCTCAACTCCATATTTATAAAGGAGTATCTGAATAAGTATATTAGAGTGAGCAATCTTGGGAGGTGAAGTTCTATACTTGGCATTGTACAACATAGCAGAGAAGGAAATGCTTCTAATGTCTATCAATTCTCTCTTCTATGTCCTGTTAAATTCATCAGCAAGAAGTGTCATTCCATTCTTGAACTTATAAGTAGCTCCACTAGATTCAATTGCTTTACACACCAGCTGCTACAGTTGGTATTATTTCTTGAAATCTTAACAACTGCTTAAACCATTTCAAGTTGTCAACTATATGAGAAGAGAAGATCTCCTTAGAAGGGCAGTAAAAGAATTGGTAGTACATAAGGAGACTAACAAAATATTTATTGACACGCTGAGAATCTACTTACAAACTATTCATTTTTTTTTATAGGAAACAAACAAACTATTCATTGATGGCCAAAAGGTGAAGTTTCAGCAAATTTATGTTTCAATAGCTTTTTGAAATCTGACATTGATTGAATGCATTCTTTTACCTCTTTCTTTCCTATCCCATAGTAACTTATTTGTGTTCACATTTTCCTAGGTGATTTGTATGAATCGTGAAACTTATTTGCCATGCTTCGAGACGCACTTTAACATTGACATCATCCAGGTGACAAAGTGTACTTCACAATGTTTACAAGCTAAAAGCTTCAACCAGTCCTAGCACCATTTCTTGAAGCCTAGAATCAGCTAGCGCACATTCTTCCAATTTACAGCTAGTTCAACTCAGCTTCCTTCCTAATCCAATCAATTGGCACACAACAAGGATCAAAAATCTAATTGTCCTGAGTCAAATATAGAACCAAGTCATCAAATCTTCTTTACTACTTAAAACCTTGCCCCAACTGCACACACACTGAACCGTCTAACCCTCCTACATTCCAAATTGTTGAGGAAACATAAAAACGCAATTTCTATCTATTTTTTACACAAAGATCAGCGTACCCCCTCCTACATGCCAAATTGTTGAGGAAACATAAAAACACAATTTCTATCTATTGCTTACACAAAGATCAGCATACCCCATCCCAATGTATGATTCCAAAGTTAATTGTGCAACTTTCATGTACTAATTGTGTAAGCTAATCCAATCAATTAGCACATAAAAAGGATAAAAAATCTAGCTGTAACGAGTCAAATAAACAGGACAAAGTCATCAAACCTTCTTAACTACTTAAAACCTTGCTCCTAGGAAAAATACAAAACCATAATTTCTACCTATTTTTTCCACACAGATCAACGTACCCCTATGACCATAAGTAAATTAGAAAGGACCCATTCCAAGATTCATTGTTACACTACATTAACAATGAAAGAAAATTAACACAACTCCCTTCAATATATTCATAAACCACTTCAAAATGACTACTTTCCCAGTCAAAGTCAATTAGGTCAATACAACTGAGTTAACAAGTAAATCAACCACCAATCACCCAACTAACAAAGAGCAGAAAAATCAAACTTGAATAGCCGAANCGTTGCAGAGCATCACCCTAAGTGGGACGTGGCTAAACTCGCCAGCTGCACTCATAATCCATTCATGTATCAGAGAATCTTCAATGATCTTAAGTTCACATAGCTGAAAAATAAAAGACCCTTAAAANTGTTGCAGAGCATCACCCTAAGTGGGACGTGGCTAGACTCGCCAGCTGCACTCATAATCCATTCATGTACCAGAGAATCTTCAATGATCTTAAGTTCACATAGCTGAAAAATAAAAGACCCTTAAAAACCAAACAATTTAAAGGAACGNGAACTAACCTCCAAGAAGCGAACTTCTTGCTCAAACCGCTTCAATTCAGCCGAAATCCGATGCTTCCCTCTGGTATCCGTCGCTGCCACCACCGATCGCATTAGCTCTGTTCTTTCTGTTTGCATCTTTCTGCTCATAAAAGCGAAAAATTCTGTCTCTCTCTCTCTCAAAAATCAAATTCCAAAGAATCAAAACAGATGAGTGAAGAAATGGGTCATTGTAGATGAGCCGAAACTGCTAGTCAAATTACTTGAAGNAAAAGCGAAAAATTCTGTCTCTCTCTCTCAAAAATCAAATTCCAAAGAATCAAAACAGACGAGTGAAGAAATGGGTCATTGTAGATGAGCCGAAACTGCTAGTCAAATTACTTGAAGACTCTATCTCATTATGTGATCATTGGAGGTGAAAAGGGTTCTAACTTTGCGAGCTTTCGATTGAATTAGGGATTGCAATGTTTGGAAGAGGAAAGGGAGCAGAAAATACAGAGCTTTTGTGGGAGTGTTTGTTGGGTAACTTAATAATGTCTGGTAATGCATGAAAGTTGCTATTCTTTTCTCTCATTTTGTTGCCCATTTTTTTTTTTATATTCCTTTCAATATTCTTTTTAAAAATAAAATAATAAATGTTCGATTATAAAATATTGTGATTAATGACGTAAAAACATAAGAAGGGCGAGGTGTGTTGAGTCGAATGGGCTGCAGGTTAAATGTGTCGGGTGTGTAAAGTAAAATGGATGAAAATGCATAGAAGTAGAGTGGTTCTGCCAACTGAAGAACTATATTAGTCTACTCTAACGAAGGTTTTTGTTCATTGAAGTGTGTGTAATTGAGGAAGGTGAGTATAATAGTCGCATTATTTTGGACAGTGTATACGTTCACTTTTTTTTTTTCAATAAATGAGTAATCATTNAAGGTGAGTATAGTAGTCGCATTATTTTGGACAGTTATAAACTCTTTTTTTTTTAAAATATGATTGAATCTTCTAGAAGCGATAATATAACTTTTTAGGGATGGTATCTTCTGGCTTAAGATAGGATACACCAGTTAAATCCTCTATTAATCTTTCTGGTAATTCCCAAATTGATAGTCGTCCTCGGGTTATTTATAACTCACTTGTATTCTTCTAGGTCGGCATACGATGACTTGAACTGTTGTTCCAAGGACGAGATATACTTTATTTTCTAGTGTCATTGGTGGTCAATCATAAATTACTTTAATTAATTATAATTTTTTATTTACGAAATATAACTAGACCTTTAACATTTATATTTTTTTAATTGATTATAATATTTTATATTCGATAATGCCATATAACTTATACATCCAAAAATTATAACTTGATTTTTAAACATTTTATAATTTTTGATACACTATCGAAGGCTAACTTATTCTTTTACTTCTTTCTTTTCTGAGTTTTCATTTTTATTTTCCATTTTCAAATTTATTGCCAAATCTGAATAATCAATTTACAATTATGAAATAATTCATTTATAATGTTCCCATGTCACGTCATGTAATATTTTCAACAAATAGGTTTTGATTATTAATTTGAATTTTACTTAAATAAAAAAATTTAAAGATTAATCATATATTATTATAGCTGGTACCCTTTTATTGATGATTAATTTGAAGTTTACTCTTTTAATCATCGTATGCAAACTTACTTGATCTCTTAAGAAGACCAACAAGTACAGATTCAAGCACCACCTCCAAAAGAGTCCCGTTTTTGAAAGATTAGATGATAATTTATTAATCAACCTCGATTTTTTGTAGCAACCGACGTTTGATTTTAGTTCATCTTTTTTTGATGAACACACAATGAGTGACATGGATAAGTAATAATAGCAGAGTGAATCTGGTATTATTTTTTTCATTTATTCCTAATAAATAATTTATGACTCATATCCAAACACAATCCTAGTTTGTATTTTATGCCCAATTGTGAAATTAAATATAGTAAAATTTCCTCTATATTAACGACTTAAAAAATAAAATAACATAAATCACTAACCATGTCAAAATCATATGCTTAACATTACAAAGTCTATTATCATTCACTAAAAAAAATATATCTATACAATGTTGGACTTAATATACTTAAATTTTGAAGCGCATTAATGTAAAAAAATTCATCCCTCTAGTTTTAATTTTTGTTTTTGTAATGTCTCTTATGCTTGAACCCGTTATACCATTACAATTACTATTACGTTGTGGTAATTACTGTAAAATTGAGGGTCTTTTGGGACATTTTTTTTTGTGGCTAGAAGTATTCAAATTTTTGATTACCTGCACATTTGGATCTTACTCAACCCGACTTATCAATTTATCTGGTAAACTACTGATCTAAAAATTAATAACTAAAAAATACGGTTCATCTGATTTCCTACCCCTATTGTTTTGTACAAAATTCGATTGGAATAATACACTTGATCGGATAGAGTCGNTTACCCTATTATTTTGTACAAAATTCGATTGGAATAATACACTTGATCGGATAGAGTCGGCCAAGAAANCTACCCCTATTGTTTTGTACAAAATTCGATTGGAATAATACACTTGATCGGATAGAGTCGGCCAAGAAAAAAGGTCTTTTACAAAGTATCAGACATGAAAATAAAATATCATAATTTCTATCTGTCGAGTAGGATGAACACTCATATTTGCGGCAACTATGATCACTGTTACAAAAAGAGTGTTTTGAAAAAATATTTTTTATTTTATTTTGTGATGATAGTGCTTTTATAAAAAATTTATTTACTGTAATAAATACTATTTGAGTTGAGACAGATTGTTCCACTATAAAGACTTTTTCAGACTTCACTTATTATAGCAAGACACTCCAACCACAATATCACCATAAAAAATATTTGTGACCATAAAAAATATTTGTGGCCACAAATAAATTTTTTGTAACATCACTTTATCACTATAAAAAACTTTTTTCCTGGGAATAAAACCATATGAGTTGCCCAACACTTATTATTAGGGGCTGTGTTGATACGTGAGTTTGGGGGGTTTTTAGAACATGGGTTGGGGACTAAACTCCTTTAAACCCATGTTTGGTAACTATGGATTTAACCTAGGGTTAGAAATCCGGGCCGGTTATGAAACCCTTGTTTATGGGTTTGGGGGGGTGGGTTTCATATGTGGCTTTTGGGGTTTCACATTTAAATAACATTTATACCCCCCTATATATCCATACTCATGTTTGGATTAAATTAGTTAAGGAACACAACAGTCATTTAAATACAAATATATTATCATAGTAGTCATATATCTCTGCACATACCAAACATGGCTATGGACAACATTAAATATTGAATCCCTTTTTTGAATCCCATATTTGGTCAAACCCAGATTTGGACTAGTCAATTAAAACCCCTCTTAAAAAACATACCAAACAACCCTTAGGGTTGTCCATGGGTCAGCCTAGGCTAGGCTAGCGAAATTTTTTTCAGGGCAGGCCTGGGTAGTGTAGACCCAAGCCCTTATCCAAATGAGTTATTGAACTAGTTGGGCCGGGCTTTGGGAAAAGATAGGCTACCCGTAGCCCAACCCGTGAGCTTATTGAACATGCCTGCTTGCGGACTTTTTTATATACATCTTTATTTAAAAATAATGAATATTTTTGTAACTTAATAATTGTGTAAATTATATTTTTGAATCAAAAGTAAAGTTAAAATAGATAAAAATAAAATAATAAACTATATCCAATAGAATGAATAAATTTCAACTAGGTTATCACCTGCTAACTTATCTATCATTTGTAGTACTCTACCATTTAAAATTTATATGCTTAATACATGGAAAAGAAAATAATACATTACTCATAATATCTAAAATTTTAAAACTTCAAATTTTGATATTGGAAGACTTATTTCAAAGTTTCAAATTTAATGATCTAAAAAAATAATTTTTTTTCAAATGAAGGGTGGCCTGGGCTGGGCTTGCGGGCGAGATTGAAGGGTAGACTCTTGGGCCAGGCTTCGGGCTAGGTAATGGGTTTGGAGGTAAACTCAAGCCCTCTTTTTAAGGATATTACGCTCGGGTTCGGGCGGACTAACTATCGAGCCTATCAGGCTTCAGACTTATTTTTTTCGGGCCGAATAATAGGATCCGTGAATAACCCGGCCCACGAATACCCCTACCAACACTTATAACAATCTGGAATTTAATCCGTTACTACCACAAAAAATACCCAATACATTTTCTTTTTAATTTTTTTCTTAACATATCATCTACCATCTATTCAAGTCAGGCCGACCCAATATAAAGGCCACTTAAGCAGTTGTTTAGAGCTCCAAAATAAAAGAGGGCCCCAAATAGTAATATAAGTTTTAAGTGCAATTTAAATTGACCCAAAAAAATTTGGTTTAAAAGTACCAATTTTATGAAAATTCTTAAAAGATGTATACCAAAACAATGACCCAACTCACATCTCCCTCACTTTTGATGGGGTCATTTAACACTTTCGCTTAGGGTCTCAATTTTTATTGGGCCGACTCTGATTCAAGTCGGCCTATTGAATATAAGGTGGTCCCTCACTCATCAATAATGGGACGCTCTTTCATTAATAGTGAATGATGTGTTAAGAAAAGAATTGAAAAAAAAGTGTATCGAAGAGAATCTGAATCTCAAGTTTAGTGAGTCATTTGTCTAATCCAACCTTACTCATATTGAAAAAAAAAGATTGCAGAATGCCAAATATTCGGTTTTTTGTTCAGTTTGCATGTCTTTGTCACTCAAAGCTAGTCAGAGAACATTTGGAAGAGTTAAATATGTCACCAAAGACGATGGAATAAACCGTTTATATTCTTTAGGATCAATTCATAAACCCTTAAAGCACTTGGTTTTCCAATCCAATAGGACAGAATTCTGGATCTTAACGGCGGACGGCTCAAGCCAATTTGAGATTTAAAGCGAAAACATTAAAAGAAGACATTTTATTTTTAGTATTATTTTTAAAAAAATTATTTTTTTTTTAAATTTTCTATGTGAGAGGAAGACAAAACAATGATGTATTAATATTGTCGAGAAAGATATTTTAATTTTAATTTTAATTTTTGTTTTTTACTACAGAGAGTAAGAGAGTGTTTAATTTTAACTTTTATTTTTTATTTACCGGA